CTCCTTTATCAACATTGATTTGTCCAAATGTGTGGATCACCTGATCATTCATATACAAGCGCCCAAATCTGGGTGATCTGGTGACATTATAGAAGATATGATTGCGGTTGCCATTTGTGTTGGCTGCAAGATGATGAGGCATGATATAAGCTACAGTAGAAGTTTGTTTCAGGGGAATTACAGTATGGTTTACCAGCTCCAGGGTGAGCGGTTGTACCTCAATGGTAAAAACTGAGTATTTAGGGTTGTGTTTCCCATCCGATACTTTGAAATAGAAACGGGCTGATCCATTAGTTCCATCATGAGCATAAAGGATCCTGCCAGCATCCACGTCTTCTTGCGAGAAAGACTGAACAGCTACACTAAAGTTGTCAACTCGGATGAGACGCCCGTGGTCAGGGGCGCTCATGAGTTCATACACAATATCCCTTGGAACATTGTCAGGGTCTGTGGTGAGCAGACTGTGGTTGGTGATGATTGCATTCTGACGGTGCACAACATACAGAACTGGAGCACTGGTGACTAATGTGAAGGGTTGGTCATTCACTGGTGTTACACTAACGTTTAGTGATCCATTAAATAGAAGTACATCTGGAGAAGAGCCATTTCCAGCAAGGTGAACAGTGAAGCCTAGGCTATCGGTGAGGGTGTCACTGTGATCATGTTCATACCGCACACGGCCCTTTTCGATGTCACGAACGGTAAAGGTGTAGCCCTCAGTCATGTTTCTGTCTCTTAGTGTGAAGATGCCATTCACAGGTGTGGAAGTGACAGTGGCGATCAGCTGTGGCGGGAATCGCACTGCTACGCCAGCCCCTGGGTACGTCTCGATGAATTCCAAGACAGCAGAGAGGTTCAGGTTGTCTTGCCTCACAGTCGCCTGCCCTCCTTCCGCCACCACGAGAGGCGCCAGCCCGAGGTAGCGCTCAAGGCCTCCTCCACGCGGACTGGCGACAGATATTCCGATGTGGAACTCTTGATTCTTCAGTGGCTCTGCAAAAGGAGTCTCCACGTCGAAGACAAACATGTCGCTCGCTGAGAGATTGGAGAAGGGGCTCGTGTGCTCGAAGATGATGCGGGAGTCATTCAGGTGCCGTTGTGTGAAGTTATCGACTGGAACTAGCACGCCCCCCGCCTCCTCCAGGAGCAGCTGTCCCAGGGACGGCGCCTGGCGGATCACGTAGACCAAAGACCTCTGTATGTTGAAGTCGTTCGTGACGGCGAGCAGGACGGCGGCCGAGAGCGGCTGCTGCATCATCGGGAACACGTGCAGCTGCTCGTTCCGCACGAGGCTGATGTGCAGCGCCCGGGCAGACACGGTGAACACGTTGGAGCCGGTGCCGTGGACCTGGTCGCTCGCCTCCCACCGGAACATCCCCGAGAGGCCGCCTGGGGGCACAGAGGGAGGATTATGACACGTCTGTGCGACTTTTGAATCGCAGGAATCTGGTGTTCTTTTTTCAAGCCACATGTGTAATTAATAAATCAGTTACTGTGCGTGCGTGCATGTGCGTGTGTCTACGTGTGCGTGCATGTGTGTGTCTACGTGTGCGTGCGTGCATGTGCGTGTGCGTGCGTGCATGTGCGTGTGTCTACGTGTGCGTGCGTGCATGTGCGTGTGTCTACGTGTACGTGCATGTGCGTGTGTCTACGTGTGCGTGCATGTGCGTGTCTGTGTGCGTGCGTGCATGTGCGTGTGTCTACGTGTGCGTGCGTGCATGTGCGTGTGTCTGCATGTGCGTGTGTCTACGTGTGCGTGTGCGCGCGTGCATGTGCGTGTGCGCGCGTGCATGTGCGTGTGTCTACGTGTGCGTGCGTGCATGTGCGTGTGTCTACGTGTGCGTGCGTGCATGTGCGTGTGCGCGCGTGCATGTGCGTGTGTCTACGTGTGCGTGTGCGCGCGTGCATGTGCGTGTGTCTGCATGTGCGTGTGTCTACGTGTGCGTGTGCGCGCGTGCATGTGCGTGTGTCTACGTGTGCGTGCGTGCATGTGCGTGTGTCTACGTGTGCGTGCATGTGTGTGTCTACGTGTGCGTGCGTGCATGTGCGTGTGTCTGCATGTGCGTGTGTCTACGTGTGCGTGCGTGCATGTGCGTGTGTCTGCATGTGCGTGTGTCTACGTGTGCGTGTGCGCGCGTGCATGTGCGTGTGTCTACGTGTGCGTGCATGTGCGTGTGTCTACGTGTGCGTGCGTGCATGTGCGTGTGCGCGCGTGCATGTGCGTGTGTCTACGTGTGCGTGCATGTGCGTGTGCGCGCGTGCATGTGCGTGTGTCTACGTGTGCGTGCGTGCATGTGCGTGTCTGTGTGCGTGCGTGCATGTGCGTGTGTCTACGTGTGTGCGTGCGTGCATGTGCGTGTGTCTACGTGTGCGTGTGCGCGCGTGCATGTGCGTGTGCGCGCGTGCATGTGCGTGTGCTGCATGTGCGTGTGTCTACGTGTGCGTGCGTGCATGTGCGTGTGTCTACGTGTGCGTGCGTGCATGTGCGTGTGCGCGCGTGCATGTGCGTGTGCGCGCGTGCATGTGCGTGTGTCTACGTGTGCGTGCGTGCATGTGCGTGTGTCTACGTGTGCGTGCATGTGCGTGTGCGCGCGTGCATGTGCGTGTGTCTACGTGTGCGTGCGTGCATGTGCGTGTGTCTGCATGTGCGTGTGTCTACGTGTGCGTGCGTGCATGTGCGTGTGTCTACGTGTGCGTGTGCGCGCGTGCATGTGCGTGTGTCTGCATGTGCGTGTGTCTACGTGTGCGTGTGCGCGCGTGCATGTGCGTGTGCGCGCGTGCATGTGCGTGTGCGCGCGTGCATGTGCGTGTGTCTACGTATGCGGGTGCGTGCGTGCATGTGCGTGTGTCTACATGTGCGTGTGTCTGCATGTGCGTGTGTCTGCATGTGCGTGTGTCTACGTGTGCGTGCATGTGCGTGTGTCTACGTGTGCGTGCATGTGTGTGTCTACGTGTGCGTGTGCGCGCGTGCATGTGCGTGTGCGCGCGTGCATGTGCGTGTGTCTACGTGTGCGTGTGCGCGCGTGCATGTGCGTGTGCGCGCGTGCATGTGCGTGTGTCTGCATGTGCGTGTGTCTGCATGTGCGTGTGTCTACGTGTGCGTGTGCGCGCGTGCATGTGCGTGTGTCTACGTGTGCGTGTGCGCGCGTGCATGTGCGTGTGTCTACGTGTGCGTGTGCGCGCGTGCATGTGCGTGTGCGCGCGTGCATGTGCGTGTGTCTGCATGTGCGTGTGTCTGCATGTGCGTGTGTCTGCATGTGCGTGTGTCTGCATGTGCGTGTGTCTACGTGTGCGTGTGCGCGCGTGCATGTGCGTGTGCGCGCGTGCATGTGCGTGTGTCTGCATGTGCGTGTGTCTACGTGTGCGTGTGCGCGCGTGCATGTGCGTGTGCGCGCGTGCATGTGCGTGTGTCTACGTGTGCGTGTGCGCGCGTGCATGTGCGTGTGCGCGCGTGCATGTGCGTGTGTCTACGTGTGCGTGTGCGCGCGTGCATGTGCGTGTGTCTACGTGTGCGTGTGCGCGCGTGCATGTGCGTGTGCGCGCGTGCATGTGCGTGTGTCTACGTGTGCGTGCATGTGCGTGTGCGCGCGTGCATGTGCGTGTGTCTACGTGTGCGTGTGCGCGCGTGCATGTGCGTGTGTCTACGTGTGCGTGTGCGCGCGTGCATGTGCGTGTGTCTACGTGTGCGTGTGCGCGCGTGCATGTGCGTGTGTCTGCATGTGCGTGTGTCTACGTGTGCGTGTGCGCGCGTGCATGTGCGTGTGCGCGCGTGCATGTGCGTGTGCGCGCGTGCATGTGCGTGTGTCTGCATGTGCGTGTGTCTACGTGTGCGTGTGCGCGCGTGCATGTGCGTGTGCGCGCGTGCATGTGCGTGTGTCTGCATGTGCGTGTGTCTGCATGTGCGTGTGTCTACGTGTGCGTGCATGTGCGTGTGTCTGCATGTGCGTGTGTCTACGTGTGCGTGTGCGCGCGTGCATGTGCGTGTGCGCGCGTGCATGTGCGTGTGTCTACGTGTGCGTGTGCGCGCGTGCATGTGCGTGTGTCTACGTGTGCGTGCATGTGCGTGTGCGCGCGTGCATGTGCGTGTGTCTACGTGTGCGTGTGCGCGCGTGCATGTGCGTGTGCGCGCGTGCATGTGCGTGTGCGCGCGTGCATGTGCGTGTGCGCGCGTGCATGTGCGTGTGTCTGCATGTGCGTGTGTCTGCATGTGCGTGTGTCTACGTGTGCGTGTGCGCGCGTGCATGTGCGTGTGTCTACGTGTGCGTGTGCGCGCGTGCATGTGCGTGTGTCTACGTGTGCGTGTGCGCGCGTGCATGTGCGTGTGCGCGCGTGCATGTGCGTGTGTCTACGTGTGCGTGTGCGCGCGTGCATGTGCGTGTGCGCGCGTGCATGTGCGTGTGTCTGCATGTGCGTGTGTCTGCATGTGCGTGTGTCTACGTGTGCGTGTGCGCGCGTGCATGTGCGTGTGCGCGCGTGCATGTGCGTGTGTCTGCATGTGCGTGTGTCTGCATGTGCGTGTGTCTACGTGTGCGTGTGCGCGCGTGCATGTGCGTGTGTCTACGTGTGCGTGTGCGCGCGTGCAACCAACCAATCAACCAGCTAGTCAGCCAGCCAGTCAGCCAACCAGTCAACCAACCAACCAACCAGTCAACCAGCTAGTCAGCCAACCAGTCAACCAGTCATCGAACCAATCCAGAACCCGGTCATCCCAGCGCCCAGTCAGTCTCCTCTCAACCTTAAACTAATCGCAGCATCTGGAGGCGGAGAGCCAGGAGGGGGGAGGGGGAGGGGGGGATCGGCAAGTGGGCGTGGCTTCGATCATCATAAGGGGAGGGGTGGGGGAGGGGGGGGAGTCTTTATATACATGCATGTGTATTCATATAGTGTATAATATACCATTGATTGATTAGATAGATAGATAGACACAGACAGATAGATTGGATGTTAGATTGATATATAGACTGACTGATTGATAGATTGTTAGACTCTTAAATTGATTG